TTCCGGTCCTTCTAAAATATTTCTCTTAGAGCTCTGAATATATACATTCATTTTCCGAAGAGTTCTAGGCAGTGGCAAGTCTCCGTTGCTTTTTAAAAATTCATAATCCCCGAAAAATCCATTTCTAAGCAGATAAGTGTGCTCTGCTGATCGGAAAGTCGGAGTTCCGGTCCTTCTAAAATATTTTTCGTATTGTTTTGAATATATTTATTCATTTTCAAAAGAGTTTTAGACAGTGGCATGTTTCCCTTACTTTGTACTTTGTACCGTTACTGCTTAGAAATGGATTTTTCGGGGATTATGCATTTATTAAAAGTCACGGAGACTTGCCACTGCCTAAAATTCTTTGAAAAATGAATAAATGTGTTCAGAACTACACGAGAAATAGTTTACAACTCGTAGAACTATCGAAAATCCGTCTGCGTCTTAGTGTTCTGATAAATACATCTTTTTTTTCTATCGACTGTTTTTTTGTTTAAATCAACAGAACTATTATTAAAAAGTATCAAGAACTACAGAACTCGACTGCATGCGATAAGAACTCCATTTTATTTTTGATCTGCTGGGAAATGATATGCCAACTTCACCGGCATATTATTTTTCACATATTTGAATCTATACGCGATTACGATTAGAAAACTATATTTTTCGTCGCCGTCATATTAAATTTTGCTAATAAATGATTCATTTCTTTGAATCACGTCAGAACGGTCAACAAATGAAATTGAGGAAATACTTAATCTTTGATTATTTTCAAGAAATATTACAATTAATAGTTTAAACGTAAAATTTGTTAATAACAATACAGTTTCTTAACTTCTAATCTGATGGATATCATAGGATGTATTTATCTGGCTTGTGGTACTCACCGTTGAAGAATAAGATAAAACCGTTCAGAATAAGAAAGCGTTTTCTGCAGACGTGGCATATCAATATTCAATAAATCGGCGACTAGCAGTAGTAACATCTGGAATGCGCTTGAATTGCTATTATAAAATTCCGTAATGCATCTCATCACATGTTCGCATTCGGGCGTTGCTTGTCGCAAGTAGGGTTTATGTTTTAGTAATGTACCTCTAATATTGGTACGTAAAACAATACACTCAAAACTTTCATTATATAAAATCGTATTCTATAATATTCTATAATCATTGGATATAACATTTTAAGACGATTTTTATAATTGGTGCATTTTTTTTATATCATTCCATTTGTAGAGAAGGTAGATTTGAGTATTTTTTTAAATCGAAATATTGTTTATTATATACAAAGTTATATATTTATTCTTTCTACGTGCATACTTGACTTTTTGTACATCTTTTTTACATAATGACATTAGCAATAGCCGTGACGCAATAGGAAATGATTATGACAATTCTACCGCAAATGCGAGCCAATAAAGCGCGGAATACAGTGCGTTGTTTAAATTCCTTGAATTTAATTTTATCGTGTCGATTACGCTGATTCCACGATAATTTCTGTTTCACGCTCATTACAATATTCTCTTTATCAGATCACTGAATAAGTCCCGAACATGGCTCGTAACGTTTGTACAAAAGAATATATTTTCCACATTTAAACTTAAACCACGCACTGTGTTCCGTGTTTTATTGGCTCTCATTGGCCTTCCTTCATCGATCCCTTATTTTTTTTCGGAGCAGTCACCACTCTTGTTATCTACCACAAATGTTGCATATCCGTTTGAAATGGTGACAACGCTAAAATAAAAATCTACGAGTATTATAAACTCTGCTGATTTATTGTCTATAATCTATATAATCCTTTTTAAATTAGGTACCCCGATAGGAAAATATTTAGAGAATTATGTGACGAAATCTGGATGAAACTTGGAATGCTAGAATTATGCGTACATATTTCGAACAACACATGCGGAAGTAGAGACGTTTCATCAAATATTGATAAATACTTGCACAATGTATTTCTAGATAGTATGCTGGCAAAACAGCTGCGTTTTGGCGAGTCACCTTAATGCAATCATTGTGAAATTTTCTCCTTTTGGATGATACAATTATTACACAATATTTGAGAAATTTTTCTATCGGGGCATATTTAAAACATGAGGTACATTTCGAAACATGAGTGATGAAAGTTGATTGTATGTATGGGGTAATAATTATAATTTTTAAATACTAACAATAAGACAACACAAGCGCGCGCTTCGCGTACGTGACTATTTCTCTTAAGAACAACCCATTTGCTAAACGAAACAATCTCTAGTGGTTTCCCCACTTGTTATATCATCGGTATTTATTATATTTTCGTAAATAATTTGATCTTCGGGAATTAAATCATCATCATACTGTCTCGAATCGAGATTAACAATATCGTTGACGAAATTTGTATAAGATGTATTACTGTTTGAAGAATTGCAAATCTGCTTCCTATCCTCTACCTTCTTATTATCATAAACTTGTTCTTCAGTTAAGACACCATATTGTTTCAAATGATCTAGAGCGACAATGTCATTAACTACATTTTCACATGATGTACTACCGTTTGAAAAATCTCTACCTTTTCTAACGTTATTCCTTGTACCATTATGGTCAATTTGTTTCTCTACGTTTACGATATCGTCAAACCATCCTGGACATTTAATATCCCTAACAAAATGCTTATAAGATGCATCAGCATTTAAAAGATCGCTTTTCTGCGTTGTCAATTCTTCATCGATATTTGGAATGCATTGTTTGCTGCAGATAAATTGTTTTTCGACAACCAAAGAAGGTTTCTCTGGTTCATCAAAATTGCTAATTAATTTTCTAAATGACGTATCTGAACGTCTATATTTTTTCTTCGTTTCATAAACGTTTTGTTCTTCATTTTCCATACATACAATTTGTTCTTTAATATTCGAAGTATCAGCATAATTCGCTAGATTTCCATCATCAAAAGAACTTTTGAAAGATAGTTCGAAGTGTGAAGATACTATAGCCTTATCATTTTTTATACTATTACTTAAACTAGCAATTGCTTCGACACTATGATTTTTAATATTCTCTCTTGGACTACTACTATT